ACAGACATGATGAGGTAAAAGCATACTTCATTAGTAATAAGTTGTTACACGAGGAGGGCTCAACGGCCATTCCAAAAGGGGCGTCACAACAGCCTAACTAAATTACAAAAAGATTATGCAACCGATCAACTCTCGGGAACGGTCTCATCGGCCACCTGCTCCGCTTCGACCTCCTCCGTCCTGACACCCTCACCGGCCTCGCATGCTGAGGAGATGGTAGTATCGGTCATGGCGTCATCGTCGGAATAGACGGGCGAACCAGTAGAAGAGCTGAGCACTGGATCCTGCCACTCAGATGGGGGGAGTTTCGCTTCGGCCTCAGGATCCTTCATCAGCCGGGGAAGCTTCAGGTTCTTCTTAGCCCACTTCTTGGTGAACTTCAGCTTCTTGAACGCCCGGTGCAGCCTCCGGTATAGTAGCCGCTGCATCCTCTACTGGCCCATATCATAGTAGACGGCCATCCCCCGAGCAAAGTATGCTTGGCCAGCAGGGCAGTTCTGGCCCCAATCTTCAAGCCGGCCCGCCACGACTTCGTATCACCAGGGCCGGTGGTCATCGGCCTTCCAGCCATCAGCCAGGAACCTCTCGATGGCGCCATCGACGGCCTTCTCAGCGGCCCTCTCAGAACCAGCCTGAGCCCTGGCCGCGTCTTCGGCCCGAAGCAGGGCCTCATCACGGCTTTGAAGGGCTTCATCCCTAGCCCTCAGAGCATCATCCCGGTCAACCGCTACCTGCCGGTAGGCCACATCGGCCTCATTAACACCCTTCTGGAGGGCCTTCACTTCCTCCCTGAGTCGGTCTAGGCAGGCCATGGCCTCCTCGGCTGAGGCAGCTTTCTTCTCAGCCTCCCTTAGGCGAGCAATCTCCTGCTCTTGCCGTTTGTGGCTCTCCATCAACATGAGAGCGCCCTGCAACAAAACAAAAAAGGAAATGAGAAAATGAGGACGATGCAAAACCCATGGCACAAAAAATGTAAAGTACGAGGAACTTACTTGGACGATGAGGTCCATGCCGCCATCGTAAATCCTGACGGCACCCAGCTTCTTCAGATAAGCCCGATCCTCGACCGGGACAGCCTGGGCCAGGACTTCATGGCCGTTAACGGCGTCATTGAAGACGCCACCCTTCACGGGATACTCGATCTCGAGCTTGTAAGTCCCACCGGCCAGCTCCTTGCCGACCCTTTGCTTCCGGGGCTCTTGGCCGGTAGGTGGCGGGTGAGACAGGATCGCCGAGGAAGGAACCGAAACCGCGTCCACAACAGCAACAGCGCTAGAACCCCCGACATCGTCATCCGGCATGGCCACACCTCCGGCACCAGCATCGGCCGAAGGGGAAGCCCTCCTCGACTTCTTGGCTTGCATACCGACCTCAGTAAGCTTTTTCTGACCGTCATCAGCAGGCCGCTTCTTCTTCGGTTGGGTTGGCGGTTTCTTCGCCGCATCAGCATTTGATGTAACGCCGCTCGCAGCGGCCACCATTGCGGCCTCCTTTGCGGCCATTTCCTCTTTCGCCTTAGCTTTTGCTAGGGCCATGACGGATCTGCGATCCATAGCGAAGTCTGCACAACAAGGAAAACAAACAGTTAGCAAAACATAAAAGAAAACATAGACGGAGACGCCAGGGAATGTATTACCATCGGCATCAGCAGGAATGCCCATATCCGGGCCGTCGGCCTCCTCAAAGGTCATGGTCATCTTCGGCCATAACTCGAGATCACCTTCCTTGTCACCATAAACATGGTACCTGATGAAGCCCAGGGCGGTCATTTTGTATTCCGTGATGTAATGTTTCACGCTCCTCGGCCCACCCTTCAGAAACGCCGCCACCTGGGCATCCAAAATACTGCTCTTCGGCACGTCATGCAGGGTGAACTTACCGTCAGGACCAACCGAAGGAAACTCCGTGCCGTCCTCACCCAAGGACACGAAGACGAACTTGCTCTTCCATCCGTGAATAGACGAAGGGAGATCAGTGAAACTCCTCTTCTTCGACAGCTGCTGGAGATTGGCGTAGCCAGCACAGTTTTTGTGGCTTCCTCGGCCAATCTGGTACAGGTTCATAAACAGTGCCGTTGTCGGCCTAAAATCTAGCTCATCGCAGCGGAGAAGAAAGCCGACGATGAGCGAATAGCTGTTGGGAGTCCTAAGTCCCTCCAGCAAGGCCGGAGGGAGCCCCACCATATCCAGATATCCCGTGATGAAGGGGTGAAGGGGAAACCTAAGTCCCTTTGCGAAGCTCATGGGGTATACTCCAAAATACCCCGGAGGTGGATTCAACACGTGATCCGTCGGCTTGGGCGCCCTAACCCGCCCATACGGCCCCACGTACATCTGGGCCACCAGGTAGTCGGCCGCACTACTCTGCGGCTTAATCAGATAAAGATTGCTGAGATCCAGGTAAGAGAAACCCGGAACCCTCTTCGGCCGCCGCCTTCTTATCGGAGCAGCTCCCTTCACAGCAGAAACCGACTTCGGGCAGGGGATCGCAGCCGATGTAGACGCTCCGTCCACAGCACGTGAAGCCCCTATTTCTTCACCATCAGACGACGAGGCAGCCTCTTCGTCCTCACCTTCACCCTCCCCGGACTTGAAGGAGCTCAACTCCTCTATCTCCTCACAACACTCCTCTACCACCCGGTAATCAAGGGACCTAGCAGAGGGCTCGTCGTCGTACGGGTAGTACTCATCGTCCAAAGGCTTCATTATAACAGTTAACTAGAGCCTAGATATTTCTACTCGGATCTAAGAGTCTATCTCCACTAACAAGGGATCAATGGCCTAGGAAGCGAAATAGGAAAATTACAGAGGGAAGTTTCGATGAACTAACCTTTGAAGCTTGGATGAACACGAAGAACACTTGCAAGAACTTTATCTCTCTAGAAAATTCAGCAGCACTTCGTTATCTCAAGAATGCAATGAAGAAACCTCTTCGGAGGGGGGGGGGGGGGTATTTATAGACCTCCCCCCAACGGTCACTACACGTGGCAACCTCCTATTGGCCACATGAACGGCCACCACCCTCAAGGCCCATTGGACTGGGCACCGGTTCAGAAGTCGGGTCAGGCCCACTTCCACAACACCAGCTCACCACTAATAAGCCAACCACTCAACGGCCACACTAGTAGAGCATGCCCGCATCGGCCTCAACACAGAGATACTTCAAATGGATAGATCACACCCCAAGGCACGTCCACATCAGCTTGAACAGAAAGCCAATCACATGGTTTTCTCAACGGCCACGGCGGTAAAACCACCAAGAAAACCCCACGCCATCGGCCCTGTATAAAACCCTGATGATAATTTCTTGAAAGCGACCTGCGTCCAAGGGTTCTCCCACAGGGTTACCTTGACCAGGAAATCGCCAAGGAATTGGATTCAGGTGTATACAAGAGTCCGCTTCGGCCTGGGTACCTCCTTTACTCCTTCACCCCTCACCTACTCTTCGGCCTGAAGCAGTGGGGGACTGGGGGACTACACCGGCCTTTGCAAACCAGGTCAAAATCAAAGAAATCCAAAAATATATTAATTCCACAACTACAACATTAGACATGCACCACAACGTCCATAACATCGTGGTGCATCATCGGCCGCAGCAAAGCTAGCGAACAAAGAATTCCCTCCCAGATCAGTGCCGTCATCATCCTCAAAGGTGTGAACGCCAGACTACGGACAACACCGCTTCGGCCAAAAAACACAGAACACGGCCAACGACTTAGAAGCAAACCGCACCCTCACGGGCTACCTGGGAACAAAAGAACACTCATCATCCTCGAACAGGAGACAACCACAAGGGCCTCCTCGGCCCCAAAGAGCGGAGAGCAGCCATCAACTGTCACGAGTGGGCACGACCATTCATCGGTTATTCGTGACAAAAGGCGCTCATCTTTCCCACCAAGCAAGGACGCTCATCGTCCAACCAAAAGGCAGCCCCAATGGCCTCCTCGGCCAACAGTACGGACTTTAACCAACGGTCAGGAGTAAACAGCACCCTCAACGGGCACTCAAGGTAAGGGAGGCTCGTCGTCCTCAAAACAAGACACAACCCCAACGACCTCATCAGCCCAAAAGGGAAGTTCAACCATCAACGACCAAGGATAGACACTTCCTTCGTCGGCCACTCATGCCGGAACACTCATCGTCCGCAAACAAGCGCACCAAAGGAGTAACAACCTTCCTCGTCCACATCAAGGAACGGGTAACAGCCAAACTCAGAACAGGGCCACCAAACGCCACGACAGGGAACAACCAACGTGGTCCCGCATCGGCCAAGAGCATCAAGCACAGAAATCTACTCTCCTTCACTTCGTCTACATCTCAGCTTAGAGAGTGGGGGACTCCTGATGGAGTATATGGGTCTAGGCCCCAGGACCACATACTCAGAAGAACAGAAAGTACAAGCCACTACGCAGTGCCCTCGTCAGCCAAAGGACCCTCGTCGGCCGAAGAGGGACCAACTCAGAACATGATCCTGAAGCCAGGGAACCAGGGTGTCCTTATCGACCGTGCCCTCGTCGGCCAGACCCTCGTCGGCCAGACCCTCGTCGGCCACGGAGGTCTCGCAGAACTAGATTTTACATTTATTCATTTATATATCCCATCATTTACTTTGTATTCGGCCCAATAGCGGTCTAGTTGTAGGGGTTATAAAATCATCATCTGGAGGTAGTTATAGGGGTTACAAAATCATTCTATTGAAGCATTTACTTGCACTTCTCTCTCTAGCTCTCACTTCTCTCTAGATATATACTCTATCACTTCGCATTTGATTTCTTTTAATGTATTTTCATTTGGGTAAGGTGTGGTCCCCCCAAATGCATTTATTTATTTATACATGTAATTGGAAGATGTATGCCTTTAAGGAGAGATTTTGGTCTAGTCCCTCCGTATGTTATCCGACATTTGTCCCACTAATTTCGTGCTTAAAAAAACATTCTTGCTATACTAATTCTGTATGTCCCACTAATTTCGTGCTTAAAAAAACATTCTTGCTATACTAATTCTATATCAAATGCGTAATATCACCCTTAGTATGCGTGCAATTCTGTCTTGTATCATAGTTACTGGGATGGGTAGAGTATACAACTAAAGGAGAACCTGATCATTGTTCACCATCCTTGCTTTTGAGCGGTGAACAAAATTGATTTGTTTCCCGATCACTCCAAAAACCGCTACCCCAAATCTGCTCTCCATCTCGCCACTGCAGGAAACAACACCACCTCGAACGACGCACACTTCTCTTTCTGACAGCTAACACGACAGAGGCCTGTGGGATAGCCGGCCCGTGTCCGATCTTTATAGGATGCAAAAATGGATGACTTTAAGCGCCTTCCCTTCTTCAACTATCCTCCTTATTTCACGTAATCCAGTTAACCCCCATAGATCCGCTAATTGATCATCATATGAATCTCAATAGCAGTCTTGTCATAAAATTTGCAGTTGCCAAGTTCTCCGTTATTCTAAAATTAGCTCGCACTATAAATCATTGTTGCATGTTGCAACCTTCTTAAGATTGAACTAGGATGGAATAATGAGAAATATTTTCAAAACCTTCGAACATTCTAAGTCAACATGATAAATTTTATTATTCATAAAACTTTTCGTGATATCAGAATACCATAAACAGATTTAGGACTCTATCATCATTTTTGAGAACTCGTCCTCTGCTTGGTATTGAAAGTGTTGTTTGGTAACCTGCTGAACTTAAAGCCCTTTTCTGTTTTCTTGTTTAGCTTACAGCCTGTAAGGGAAACAAGGGAGAAACAGGCACAGCTATGGAAGGAATTGATAATGGATTACTGTAAGAAACAAAAAATCTATGTAATAGGACTTGAAGAGGACTTTCCATTGTTCAGTAATCCTGCAATTGAGAGTGAGACGTCTTATCCCTTTTTTAAGATTTCCAGTCATTTTGATCTTTTGATTTTGTACTAAATAACAAAGGGTTGATAAGATTAGAAAAATCACATACTGAGTTTAGATTGGTTCTCAAAGTTACCATGTTTGGTTGCCTCCATTCCAGACCTTGATGATACTATGATGATTCGAGTCTTGTGATCTATGATGATTGGTCTTCTGTGTGTATGTGTTTAGTAACCTTCCCCCCATCAAGCTCATATTAGAGTATTTTTTGTTGTAGGGCCAGGCCGGGATACCTCCCGTCCTTTTGTTTGGTTGAAATATTTGTATAGGAAGGCTGCCAAATTTCCTTCTTCCTCCCCTCCCCTCCCCGCCGTTTTCTCAATATCTCCTTCCCCTTCACACCCTTCACACCAAACAGGCCCTTAGGCTACGACTGCACTTTGCAGCAAATTCACATTGGCTGATCTTATGCTGCTTCAGTTGTTCAATATGAACACTTCTGAGGCTGCACTGTGTTTTTCCTGATTTCCTTTTATTGACTAAGCTATTTATCTAATGTAACATCTTATTTTAAATCAAGTTATATAATCAAAGCTTCAATTGTGTTTTCACTGACTCTATGAGGCTGTTACCAGTCCTGAGCATTACACAAGATTTAGGTTTCAGTGTATTGTTTAAATTAATATGCATGTGAATGGACTCTAAGTAAAGGTAATGTCCTCATGCAATCATTATGTGATCTATGTAAATCTCGGTGATTGGGCCCCTTTTGTTGTTGTATTAGCAACTTTTTTATTTTGTTTTATTTACTGTGAGTACATAGTATATTCCTCCTTTGTGTGGCTGAGTAACACTTCGTTTCATCATGCAGGATCTCTTAGTCATGAAGCAAGGGAATCATTTCTATCGGCTTTGGTTTCAGATGGTAAGCATTTTAGTGTAATCTTGGTGTAATGGTAAGTGATATTTTTGTCATTAGATTAGAAATTTTGTTTGAATGTTAATGTCCTTAATCCTTATTAATTTCTTTAATACTTACCCCTCATAAAGTATGAATCTCTTTTGAGTCAATTCTTTTACTATTTGTTATCATACTATTTTGGGACTACGGCTTGGTTGTTGTTGTTGTTTTTTATATACATTCTTTTCTATAACAGGCCGTGCAGAATGGATAGATAAAGGCCACAGGAAATGCCTTATCCTTTGGCGTAGAATCCAAGATTGGGCTGACTTAATATTGCACTTCGTAAGTATTCATTTAACTTTTTATTACTAATGATTTAGGAAGAGAACCTTTTTGTATTCCTTACTTCAGATCATACATCATGACTCCCATATATATAAGCAAGTAAATGATACATTAAAGGACAAAAGAAAGCTAAAATCCATAAAGGAAAATGAAGAGTTAAGCACATGCTAGAATATAAAAAGGTACATGCTTTAAATGCTATTTCTAACACCCCCTCAAGCTGGAGCATATATATATATATCATGGGCTCCAAGCTTGTTACATATATAATCTATCCTTGGTCTTCTAAGAGACTTAATGAGCACATATGGTAATTGATCCTTTGAATTCACGAAAGTAGTGATGATGTCTCTAGATCTCATCTTGCCTTTGATGAAATGACAGTCCACTTCTATATGTTTGGTTCTTTCAAGAAAAACTGGATTTGTTGCAATGTGTAGGGTGGCTTGATTATCACATATCAACCTCATGGGTCTGAATTTCTAGAAATTGAGTTCTGAATGAAGATTCTTAACCCAAATTAGTTCACATGTTCCAAGAGCCATCACACAATGTTTGGCTTCAGCACTTGATCGTGCCACCACATCTTATTTCCTACTCTTCCAAGAAATCAGATTTCCACCCAACCCAGTCTATGTCAGTATATCCCACAATTTCTCTGTGTCTGTCCTGTAACTGGTGCTTGTTTGATGTATCTTAAGATATGGGTGACAACATTTCATTGTCTCTCACACGGTGATCGTAAAATGTGTCTGGCAACACTTACAACAAATGAGATGACATGACGTGTAAATTAGGGTTGGGCACGGTCTGGGTATACCAAGTCTTGAAATAAAAACCGGACCTTACCCGCTCCGTTTAAAACGGGCCGGTTCAATCCAGGTTTTTGGTCCTTATTATTTGTAAACAAATGCCACTAAACTGATAAAATATCTAGTTGGTAATATCATTCTCAAACTAATTAAGTATCAATGTCACCATAATATAGTAAAATTCAAAATAGAAATATAAAACAGATTTTTGAATTAGTTTACAAAATATCTAACTACAAATCTATAAATTAAATAGCACACAAATTAAATAACTCTAACTTTGAAATGTAGAAAATTAGACATCATCATCCATAAAATAGAAAGATAGCACCACAAAATATGTTTAAGAAAACAATTGAAAGCTTAATAAATCTCAAAGTGTAAGTAAATTTAAAATAATTAAATGAATATGTCACACTTTATTGAGCAAGAGTCTTTGTTTACAAAAAAAATTAAATAAAGAAAAATCGATGCATTTGAAATAAGAATTGGGGATAATAATTCAAAAGTTTGCATGGACTTCGAAGATCTTTTTAATAGATTCATGAAATGAAGAAATTCCGGGTGTTGTTAGTAGATTATATTAAATATAATAGTCTTTTATTAAAATAATATTTTAAAACGGGTCAGTCCGGGTGCTTGTTTTTTAAATTTTAATACCTCAACGGTTCCTAAATTTTTTAGCACACGCCCCTCCCCTCCCCGTCTTGGTTTTCTAAAATTAGAACCCGACCCTAACCTGCCCCAAACTTGTATTACCCACCCCTACATGTAATTAGGGGTGGGCAAACGGGTACAGGAACCACTGGTCGGGCCGGATAATAGAGATTCATGGCGGGTTAGGGTCGGGTCCTAATTTTGGAAAACCCAAACGGTTCGTGGCGGGTCCTTAAAAGCATAGGAATCGAACAAGTCTTAAAATTTGAAACAACGGGTGCTCAAGCTGAACCGTTTTAAAATATTATTTTAATAAGTTCTATTATATTTAATATAATGTACTAACAACACATGGAAGATCTTCATGTTCTTGTGTCTAGATAAAGACTTTCAATTAAAGAAATTGGTCAGTCTCTTAAAAAGAGTTTCTAAGTCCATCTAAGCTCCTAAATTATTGTCCTTAATTCTCTACTCCAAATGCATCAAACTTTTTTTTAATATTTTATTGTAAACAAAGACTCTTACTTAACGAAGTGTGACATATTTGTTTTATTATCTCACGTTTACTTATATTTTAATAGTTAATATGATTTATATTGTTTTCATAGACAAATATGTATAGTGACTAGTTTAATTTCTTGTGACTTTATAGTACTATCTTTTTAGTTCATGAATAATGATTAAAATTTTATTTAGGTGGTTGTGTGCTGCTCAAATTATAGATTTGTTGTTAGCTATTTTGTTAACTAATTTAAAGTGTTGTTTTATGTTTTTATTTGGAATTTTTACTACATTATGGTTACATTAATACTTAATTAGTTTGAGAATTTTACAACTTATTAGAAACTTTGCTAGCATAGCCGGTTATTTTTTACAAAAAATAAAGAACCGATAACTTGAACCGGATCCGGCCCGTTTCAAACGGGACGGGTAAGGTCCGGTTCCTATTTCGAGATTTGGTATACTCGGACCGAACCTACCCGTTAAATGGAACCGGCGGTTCTTGAAATTGTTTCAATTACCCGAACCAACCCGGATCGCGCCTACCCCTACACGTAATAGCGAGGTAAATAACTTTTCCAACAAGTCTTCTATATCTTTCGAGATTTGATAAAGACCCCCATGTCCCGGTAGAAGTGTGTTATTAGGATCCATTGGCGTATCAATTGGCTTACAGTTTGTTATACCAGCATCTTCAAGAATATCCAAACTAAAGTAATTTGGTTTGCGGTTCAGTTTGGGAGATATTGTACCAAACTAAAACCATTTGTGTTTCGGTTTGGGAGCGGTTCGATTTGGTCTCAAGTTCGGATTACCAAATTGAAATGATTTGGTCCGATTTAGTTTGGCTTGATTCGATATTTCTTATATTTATTGATTTATTTGATCCATACATCCAAATTCTTTTTTTTCAAAATAAAAATGAAAGTAGTAGTTCATGGCACCTTGTTCTATTTATTATATTTATTATTTAAATAAAATGTGAAGGAAAATGAAAGATAGAAAGAGAATAATAAAATATTATAAATTAACACCTAATTTGTTTTACTATGATTGATGACATTAAAATATTTAACATTTTATCAACAACTAGAAAAAAGATTCGACATTTTATCTCACAAAAGTTTATTGTTGATTCACATTTATAATATCAAATAAAATATTCAAAGAAAACTAAATGATTCGACGGAAAAAATGTCATAAAATCCATGTTTTTATTCAAACAAATCATGTAAAATATACATTGTACTCTAATTTTACTGAAATTGATACAATTGCAGTGTGCTATGTCATCACTCATCACCAAACATTTTTTTACTACCTCCGTCCCAAAATGTTTAGCCAAATCTTAAAATTTGGACCATGATTTTGATCAGTATAATATTATGAAAGTTATAAATTTTATACTTTTATGAAAGTACTTTTAACAAAGAACATTTTCATCTCATTTTTATATTATAAATAATTTCCAATAAATATATATTATTGGTCAAATTTTTGGATTTGGCTAATTATTTTTGGACGGAGGTTGTATTACATAATACAAAATATTAAAAATACAAGTATGTTTTATCACTTAACTTTGTCATAATAATATATTATGAAATGTGTAAGAATTAAAATGATATATGCTAAACATGTATTTTTCATATCTAAGTTATTTCTTTATATCGCAAAATGAACAATGAAGAAATTCTTTGGTTCGGTTTACGGTTTGCTTTAAAACCAAACCAAACCATTTGGTTTGAACAAATCTTACCAAACGGTTTACTTCAGTGAACCCAAGTATGTTTTAATAAATACCCAAGCATTAAAAATTCTTCGGTTCGGTTTACGGTTTGGTTTAAAACCAAACCAAACCAAACCATTCGGTTTGAAAAAATCTTGCCAAACAGTTTACTTCAGTGAGCCCAAACCAAACCAAACTACCCATTTTCGGTTTGGTTCGGTTCGGTTGGACCAAACCATTTTGCCCACGCCTAATCCATAGCATACTTTAGTTGTGATATGTACCTACCATGTTTTGATTGTGCAACTTTAATGCCTAGAAAGTATCTATATTTGACGAGATCTTTTGTTTTGAAATGTTGAAATAAATGCTTCTTAAGAAGTTTTAGTCCATCTATCTATCACCCATGATCACAATGGTCAACTTTACTTTGAATCATGTCAATTTTTTGTACTACTTCACTGAACCCTCCAAACCAAGGTTACCAAGCATGTGAGGACTGCTTTAACCCATACAATGAGCGTTTGAGAGGCAAACTGCGTCAGCTCCCCCAGAAGCAATGAATTTCGGAGGTTGTTCCATATAAACTTCCTCCTTTAGATCTCCATGCAGAAATGCATTTTTTTATGTCTAAGTGATGGTAAGAGCTACTGTCGTATTGCTGAAATAGCCAGCAAAGTGCGAAATCATACAGTCATACTACTTTTGCTATAGGAGAGAATGTATCTGTATAGTCGATTCCAAACACTTATGTGTATCCTTTGGCTGCAAGCCTGGTGTTGAGCCGGTCTATCATGCCGTTAGGACCAACCTTGACTGTGTATAACCATGTGCAACCGACCACAAGTTTATTTGGTGCTAGATGGACAAGTTCCCATGTCTATGTGTTAAGTACCCTAGCAATTACAGAAGTTCACTAACAAACAGAAGAATGGTAACTAAGAAAACTGAAAGCTTCATTAATGGAGAATCCGAGTACACAGTCCCAAAGAAGGAGATAAACTCCAACTTCTCAGTCCCAGACCAAATGAGTCTAAACAGCCTGCCTCACTACTCCCCCTTCCCATCTATTTATACTACAATACATCAAGTGCCCTTATTACTAATATTCTTATTAGTACTTCTATTATTAGTCTTATATAAGTGGGTTCCTAACAATACTCCCTCCCTAAACATCCACCTTGTCCTCAAGGTGGGTAATAGGAGAAAGCCAGAATCTTTTGCTTCCTCTTCCTCTTCCTTGTTCCTCTCCCTTCCCAATATCGAACTGATTGTGGGACCATGAACCTTTCCAAAGA